TCCGGCGATCCGTCGTTCTTTCCTTCCATCCGTTCTCTCTGGCGTGGATTTCAAATCGGACAATAAACGAGGTCGGTGATTCTGATTTAGTCGATTGCATGTTTATGTGGTGTTTGATTCGAGAAAGTTTACGTACTAGATTAGAGACCTAACCTGCGGATTTTGAATCTGGTTTGAGTTTTTAGGGTGTTACGAGATGATGCACACCAAGCCGGCGATGATGGAGAAGGAGAAAATATTGGTGTGGTGGAACATAAACCGCTGTCCGATCCCGTCTCGTGTTGACGCTCTCGAGGTCGGTTCGAGAATATAATCGGCGTTGAAGAAGGCAGGCAACTCTGGTCCCCTCACCATAACTGCCATTGGCGAAATGAGACAAGGCCCTTTTGACAAAGTCTTGGAAGGCCTCTCTTCCACTGGAATCACTTGCCCAAGGTTAATCTTCTCTTCCTGTTATGGATTTTTCGTTCCTTTTTAAATTAGGGTGTAGGTTCAATGTTGCTTTCCTTCACTGAAACAGATACAGAGATTCTAAGAGAGTTGTTTAAATGGATCCAGAAAAATCCACCTCCGGCTAAAATAATGCTCATAGCTGGTCCTCGTCAACTCGAGTGCTTAGCTCCTGCTGTGTTTGGCCTAGATTGGAAAGGTTACGAAATTATTCTGGCATATCCTCCTACGCAGGATCAAGTTCCAGAGTGGGTCAGCAAAAGCTTTTTGTCTGTTGTTTATCAAGAGTGGCTCTGGACAAGCTTCCTGGATTCAGGGTCTGCGTGTCAGACCAAAATACAGCCTCTTCGTCAGGGCTGGTCTTGCGCACTATGCAATTTTGCTTGCTTAATTATTTGGATTGTGTTCAATTCAAGTTTGGTTAACCAGCCTCCTATCCGATTCATCTTGTCAGATTTAGACCCATGGATTCTATGTTAAACTTAATATCAATGTGGAGCCTAGAGCCGAAATATTTATGGTATTTTGAATATTGATCATGATGATGTTTTCCCTCGTTTACTCATAAGTATCACTCCTTCTTTTACATAATCTCAATTGGTTCTTGATTAATGTATTAACTGTTATGAATTCAGTTTTTGTGTTTTGAAATGTGAAATTTATGAAATATTTATATAATCGCTCACCATCATAGTGTGGTTCTCATGAGGAATACCTAGACGCAAGGTGTGACACCCGATCCCCGATCACTTTGAGCCCTATGTTTCGTGCCCTAACTTGCTCAACAAGCAACATATCTGCACAAACTAAAAGAGAAAAAGAGAGGTGAACAATTCCGGGAAGAAATTACTCAGTAAGTTACCCACAACAACTCTAATACTTGAAAACAGTAAGCAATCAAACACATTAACCCAGAAATAAAACGTGCATCACCCAATTTATTACTAGCAACATAACATTCATACATAACATTTCCACACCATAATCTCTTTTACTTATACATTATCTCATACTTAAACATTTCAC